CATGAGTTGATATAATATATTGCACATATTCGAGAATACCCATAAGAATCAAAAAACATGACCCTCATCACCATAGAAATTTATCACGGGTCAAAGGTGAGTTTTGCAACATTTCCCTGTGTCCCAAATATGTGTCGGACACTCAAAATCCCACCAGTAAAAACAGATATCATAATAAATTCTCTAAGGTAATAATAATAATTATTATCATAAACAAATGGTTGTATTCGGCCCCAGCTGTGGCGATATCATTATGTTTAACCAGGTAGGGTTTTGGGGGTTGATAGTTGGACAATTTCAAGGGTTATTCTCATACCGGAGTTGGGGAATTTTCTTTATATAGAGCATAAACACCGAGGGAAATCCCCAATGAGTTGTCGCCCACCTACATACACACCACCCCTTCACCTTGGGCCTTATTGCTAACCCATAGTCAGTAACCCCAAGCGGTTAGTCCCGTCCATATTTTTGAAAAGCCTGGGCCAGTCCGGTCGAAATTCCCAGAATTTCAAACTTTTTTTGTGTGTTTGGGCCGGCATGATACTTGGTCTCACTAACGCCGACTTTTGTCTAGGAACTATGCATGATTGCAGGCGACTACCGTGTCCCGGACCCCCCGGGGGGAAAGAAGAAAAAAACCAATATTTTGTACATGAACCTTCCTCTTCAACAGCCTGAGCTCTGTCTACCAGTTTCCACCACACCCTGAAAAACATGAGGTTCCAAGAATTCCCAACAGTGAGTAATTGCCTCTTCCTTCTTTCTTTCAATCTCTTTATCCTTTAATGTATCATACCTAAACGGCATAAAACTCGTGCAAAAGATGTTTAATGAGAGACCAAATGAGCTCGGTAGGATTAAGGTCAGAAGAATATGGGCAGTATTTCTATCTAACACCCTTTTCAAGTAGCTACCCCTTTTCGAGTAGGCGAGTGCGAGCATGATCAATGGTAAAGAAAAATTTTACCCTCAGCCGCCATAAGACCACCATCCTACTAATTTGCTCTCTGGAGTTAGATTCATCCCCCTATCCCTGGAGCGGGGCGGGTCCGCTCCATGGCCCTCCGAGGGGGCACCTGGTTACTACTACCAGTAGTATTATATTATGATAATTATGGGGTACCCAAATGTGGTTTTGGTTTTCCTTTTTCTGAAAGTTACCTGGGCCCGTTCAGTTATTTTTCGTCAACTAACGATACCCTGATCAATATATCATACCTCCAGATACAATACAAACCCAATTAACGAACCCCTAACGCCCGACTAACTGTGCATTGCATCATCCTATGCGCTGTACTCTTGATGGTATCATTCAAGGCAGAAATGGCTCGACGGCTGCCATGTGGGGGAAGTGGCCATGGGTGAATAGGGCAGATCGCTGGAAGGAAATCCTGGAGAAACATGCTCCGGATAGTAAGAAATCCTTTCCCCTGAGCTTTTAACAACAGACGAAATCGCGGTTAATTCGGTGACCCCGGGCGGCCGGACTGACCCAGGCTTTTTCCAGGATGCCAGGGCCGGAGAGCGGGAACGCGGCCTTTCGATACCAAAGCCGGGCTCAGGCTGGGTTTCCTGTAGACTTTGTATGTCAGTGATACCTGGTGATTCCATACCAAATGGCTTTCCAATCGTGACATGGGTTGGTGATGGTCCACGTTGCTTTTATTCTCCTAGTCCAAGTGAGAACCTCTAAAAACCTCGAGGCTTTCCTGAAGTCAGGGAGGCGCATTCATAAAGGATGAAATTGGTTTCCATGAACGCTCGTGAGCTGTTGACTGTGATTTTTGGATTTAAGTTTGGGAGACGAGCTGCTAGATGGGTTTGCCCATCAGTGTTTTTTTATTTTTTTATTTTTTGTGGGTTTTATCCAGGCATGTGGCGGGGTAGCCTGGATTGCCTAACCTCTTGGCCTTGGGACCCCCTGGGCACCTGTGGGCTTTGGCAGTCGAAAATAATTTAAACCCGATAAGGCTCTTCAGAATCATGGCTGTACTATGGGTCCGACTGGCAGCTTAGAATCACTGAAGTCTGTGAGTTTAGATACCCCCTACTTGGAGAGAAACTGACTGGTCGGTTTTCTATGAGGAAATAGGCCGTTTGTTTCTACAGTTTCCAGGTCCACTAAATCCGCCACAGGGAAGCCTACTGTTTAAATTTATGTTGTAAATTGTGCTCTGTGCTCGAAGGACTACTAGAACCACACTGTAGAACCTTGACATGATATGGCTTGCCGGTATTGTGGTACAAGAGTGTAGTTCCATGGATACTCTATAGTGGTAATGTCGGGTTGGTGGGTAGGATGGTCATCTACAAACACGGGGAGCTTGAGGAAAGGATATGTACACTGGGAAAGAGGGCCGGCGTGAAAAGTAGTGTTGGGCGTTTGCTCTTTTTCTAGACTGCATCCTTTTCCATGCTCTCTTCGTGGGTTATTTTAACTTCAGTTTGGTTGCCCGAATCGGGGTATCTAAAAGTGTTGTAGTGTTGTGGTTATGACTATCACAGGAAATCTGTTAAAGCGTTAGACAGATTGCGCAACTGTAGAATGCCTTGAGAATTTACTTGGGAATTCAGCACTGTGTGGGAAAGGTAAGGGAAGTATTGTCAACAACTTCGTTCTCCTTCTTAAACTAAATTAACGGCGAAGACAGGAGTGTATATAAGACATAACCAAAGCGTCTTGATCCCCTCATGGATCTCTGAACCTATCTATGTCCCACACATGTCCTCATTCCTCTCTCTGCACACTCTCGTAGCAATAATGGAAAGACATCTCCACAGAACTTTCGTAAGTCATGAAAGCTCTGGGACAATTCACCACACTCAAACGATCCACTAGACTCCTGTAACTTCCAGAGTCAACTAAAACGCATTTTCGCAACCCCCGAAAAAGCCATGCTTACAGGATAAGATAATTTTGGTCACGAAAACAGGAGATCTGAGTACAAAAAAGCCACTATTGGTAGACTAGTCTCTAAGAATAACTACCGGTAGGAGTATGATGATCAAATTCCTGCAAGCACCCCCCTCTGAGACTGCTCGGACTACAGGAAGGAACTTTTTTCCCAACTCTGCTCAAATTACGAAAGATTTCTAAAATCAGAGTAACAGCTAGGCCAAACGACTGTTATGTAGAATACCTTTCCACCTGCAACTAGAAACCCCGCTGGTACTGCAAAAACCGGAATATCATACTTGAGCCTGACGCTAGGGTGCTGGAATTCTATCTCCTACTAAGGTCGGCCCTATTTTTCTTTTACCTATCACAGCCGGGGTCTGAAAGAGAGGTGTACTTTGCTGAGTTTTTCTCCTACTAATACAAAGGAGGAAATTTTGGACGTCTTAGAGTGAGGCCTAATGATTTTATGGCATGATGGCTTTACTGTATTCTAAATATCAACCCTAGCACTGAGATTCTGCGACTCTTAAACATGGATTCATCTGTAAGTCTTGCTCTCCCATGAATCTACCGTACACCCTGCTAACTCTTGCAACATTTCCAGCCAATCTAACCCCATTGCACACCAATATAGGCCAAACCCGACATGGTGGATTTACTGTCTTCCGTGGTCAAAAAATAATAATCTTTTCTTCCTTTGGCTCTCATATGTTTAGCCACTGGGCCTTATTCCTTTAGCTTCTCATAAGTTATCTGAGTTTGAGTTGGGGCCAAAAAAACTACCCTTCCTCCCGTGCACCCTTGAGAATATTCCAACAATAGAGGCTTACTAAAGCGACCAAGGTCAAAACACACGAAAAACAGGGCCTCCGGGGCCATCACTACCCAACCACCACGGGCAGAAACAGCGTAGAGGGAATTGGAAGAGCAACTTCCAACGGCACCCAGATAAAGAATCCCGAGATCTCTCCTAGAGCAGTTGGATGAGGTGACATACCTGCCAAGATCGGGTTTTTATATCGGGGGGATACATTGCGACAAGCCTTGTATGGTGCCCGCAGCTCTATATGAACTCGAGATGAAAGTCTGACATATATACATCCTAATATGTTAGGATATACTTTAGACATGCTAAAACTTTAAAAAAATTAACCCTGGGATCCACGATATCCATGGAGACATAACGGTTCAAAAACCCATAATTTTGGTGTATTCTGCCCTCTGTCTTGTTTTCCCCAAACAACCCTTCCTGCGAGCCGCAGCCGCCTGCAAGTACAGTATTGTAAAAACTCAACATAACCGTGCGCTATGTTGTAGGTGTTGCCTCCTCAGGTAAGGGTTGGCAGTCATTTGTTTTTTATGTCTCAGAAGGGCTGAACCCTTTTTCGCTATGTCTTTCGACCATTTCCCAAGTAGGAAATTCTAGACTACATAGAGTTTTCACGGTACCAAACCTTCTTCTTCGTCGGTTCGGCGGTTCATCTGTAGTTAGCTACAATAAATCTTATTGAATTCGCCTGTCCACCCATAGCCATCGCGAGAGGTTGCCCAATCTTCCTCACGGACGCCCGGGTGCCCAACAGTCAGACCCCCAGCGGTGGATATCTAAGCCATCCGGGGGCTTTACCATCTTGGGACTGACTGCGAGGCTTGATTGTGGGGTGGAGGAGGCGGCAGCTGGGATGGCGAGGTTACACCCTTTGTAGTGTAGGACCCAAAGTCCATTGAACTGTTTTGGCTCAGGCCTTTCCTCTTTTGGGTCTGTGATTCCGGAGGGGTAGAAGTACTAGCTGTATGACACACTACAAAATTGAAACATGGTGATTTGAATCTGGTATCTTACTAAACTCCTCCTGTTTTCCAAGAGTCCCTCCCAATTTTAACCAACATTGAAAACATTGAAAATAGAAAAGAACGGCACAAAGAAAGAAATTCCGTGCGCTGCAGGAATTTTCCAAACGGATCCCGGGACGAAGAAATCCTCCTGCCTTCCGCGAGTCCCACTACTCCCCACTCCCTACCAATGCCCCAATGCACTTCCCACTCCCTCGACCTTCCGGTTGCAAGACACTCAATCAAATACACAAAATATAGTTCCATGCTAAGTCCCACGGACCGAAACTTTGCTAAAGATGATGAAATTTTGGCCGCCAATTGTGCGATGCATACCAGGTTTGCGCTGATAGCGTACGTCGTCCAAGGTAATGTAGCTGGTAGCACCCATCCCCGCATCAGACGTCCCTAGAAATTTCTTTGTATCAACCTGGACACTGGAGGAGCTGTTGGATTCGTAATGGATCGTGACCCCGAAGGTGTCGGACTTGAACTGCTCGTCGTTATTGATGTCTGAGATCAAGCGACCTCTGGTGTTATAGCTCATGACCGCGCTTGCGATAATTTCGAGGTCCTTAGTAGCAACGGCAATCACTGCCCTATCGGGGATCTCCGCCTCTTTCCCCTTGCGCTTTTCTACCTCCGCTGCATGCAACTCTGCTAGCAACTCCTTTTCAGCTACAACCTTTTCGAGTTTCTTCTGCTCTGCCGCAAGGACATCTCTCATTTCATTTCTCATTTCCTGCATAGCCCCCTCAAAGCCTCTCTTTAGAGATTCTATTTCCTCCTTATGTCTCTTCTCTTGAGCAATCAATTCTTTATTAATGTATTTCCCTGCCTCGGTTTCAAGTAGGGTCCTACCCTGGTTGACAATCTCAACCTGAATATCGAGGGATTTTGGTTCGTTTGGTATCAATTTGCGGATAAGTTCCAATCCGGATTCTCTGGTGCCATGGAATCTCTGGAGAGCGGCGCCTTTATCAATAAGTCCTCCCCAGAAATCAGGATTCTGGAGACTAGTTTCGCGAAAGTCCCCCTCTGTCTGATCGACGTTGGACCACTGGGTTGTTGTGAGAAACACATTGCTCAGGACTTTCTGACCGCACAAGCTCTGGAACATCCTAAGGTTCTTCAGGGCAGAACCTACCATGCGAGCATGGGTGATGGGGTGGAGGTAGATGATACCCGAGAGGAGTCGCTTGTCCTTGTAGGTTTTTGAGGTCCAATCAGCAATTTCCCTTAGGACGTCCGTATCTCTTTTATTCGTATCATCGAAGCCAGGAGTGTCGACTAGTGTGATTTTCGCCCCTTCATGGTCGAAAGAGTAAGATTGGACCTCCTGGGTACCTTCTTCCTGTCAGTGCTCGAGCTCAGTAACCTCCAACAGGAGACTACCTTACAAGAATAAAGATTGCGACCCACTACGACCTCCGAGTTACCAGAGACCTCTCTAATGAAGTAGCTTTTGCCAGCTCCTGTTACCCATCTTAGCAAATGCATGCTGAGCTTGAATGCACTTTGGATTTTACCTGTTACTCCCATCAATGCTATTATAATTTCTTTATTAGGACTGACCTCCTGTAGAGTTGGATGAACTTCCTGAACTAGCCCTGGGGGTGATATTGGGCGGTAGCTAGTATCAACTGGGGTAGGCACCTCCGGAACGTCTTTTTGTTGCAACACTTGGTGAAGTAGCCCATGCTGATAGTCAGGTCCCAACGGATTGCCATCTATTTCAGGCAGGAAGGACGTTTTTAGTTTTTCAGGCGGTTGTTGGTTGGAGAGTGTTCGTGGGTTTCCTAGTGGTGGCATGTCCCGGGGTCGCGGCCGTGTCCCGATGAGGGCCCTCTTGAAATCCCGCCATATTTCCTTCAATCTTAACTGAGACTTATTCTCCCTTTCCCCACCCCCCCCGCCCCCAATCTTGCCATCTGAAGAGCGAGGGCGTTGTGGATGGCCTGGCGGTGGCTGAGGATTCATCCCAAGATAATCTGACTACTTAAATGCCCAATATTTGGCTTTGCGGGTTGAGGTCTTGTTCGGTTGAAATGGGAGGGATAGGATAAAGGCTTTAGGATCTTGTGGAGCGGTTGTACGATAGCAGTAATCTAAGGAGCAAGCAGTGTGGCATATATTAGTGTCCAAATGGTTAGGTAGTTTTATTTCGTTGCTACCTGAGCAACATAGTAGGGGCGACAACGAACAGTTGGGGACGGCAAACGATACACCGAAAACATAGCGGCGAACACCAATTTTAGTATGGCCGTTCATTCTGCAACTCCTGTTCGTTGTCCCCTTGTAGCATCCTCCTCAAGTAGCGAATCACCAAATCCGGGAGCTTATAAGAAATCCCTGCTGCAGACGCAGTCCTCACAATTCTGCTATACGTTTTAACAGAAGGCCAACCCAGCTCGGTTACGATCCAGCAGGTATGATAGTGCGCAGGGTGGGTATCTGCACAGTAACAACGCAACCGGATGCGCCGTAGGTAAATCGAAAGTGAATTTCCAGATAGGAAGGAACCATAGCGCTCTCTCTCCACAATCTTCTACATCTGTTACTTGTATTCCTATATTAACCAAGCCGAATAAGAGTTTTCCTTTTTTCGATGTAGTGTAGAAACTACACTAGAATAATTGGAACTCACACTGGGATATCCTGAGTTCCCCCCACGTGGGATTATGGGGAGAAAATCTGACTCCCAGCCCTCCATTGTGAAAGATATAGAGAAAAATATTACAGATGTTTACTAGGAGAGGCAGCTCATCCTACTCGAGTACTGTACAAGCAGTGCGGGGTCCAATTATTCCTGTTTGTCCTATGGTTGAACGAAGCTATGAGTGCCACGTCGAGTGAATACCCCCGCAAAAAGCAATATCACGATCGGCCGGAGGTTTCAATTACAGTGCAAGGCGCCATATGTGGGGAAGTGTGGAACATCTCCACTTTGATTTTTTCGATTGGTTGAGGTAGACTGTTTTGAAGGTTAGAAAGAATAGATTCAATATGTGCACATAAGCCACTCTGTGGCAAGCCGGTTACATACTTCCCCTCAAGGGCTTCTAGCACCCTAGATTTGTGAAAGTTGTCGTGCAAGTGGTCCTTTGCCCACCCTTTGAACCCCTCTTGTGCGAATGCTCCGATACATCCCCGAGTATTAAGATATCGCAATCGGGACCCAAAGCTCGCGAATAATATGATAACACTCTCAAGATTTGGGAAATGCGGTAGGCTATCCTCACCTTGGTGCTACACTCACTACACAGCGACGATTTCATACTGAGTTGGTAAAAAAATCAATGTCAACCAGATTTCCTAGTTTAGTCACGTAGTAGGTTAGGTTAAAGAATATGATAGTCTTAGTATAGTATACGCTACTGAGTGTCTAGTAATTTAAAATCCAATTTCATTTTTGCCCATATATTTGGCGCTGCGCAATACTTAGGGTGTTAGCGCAGGTCCACCCAACCCTGTTCTGGTTCTTCGAAATTATGGGTGCGCATCACGGGGTATGCAGCCCAACAAGCCCTTCCCGTCAACCTTCGGTGAAGGAAAAAAGCCTGCCGAACACCTGGCGCAGCGTCTGGAGCATCCACCGTTCTCAAAGTGGTGGTGCCAACCAGAGGAAGTTCGGCAGACTTACCCGGCATTCACCGTGCTCGCCATGCAGCGATGTTCCCAAAAGAGGACTTCTATTGCATACTGCCGAGGGTTGGCCACAGCCTTAGAAATTTTGGGCATGCAATAACGGCTTGTTTTACAAATGTTACGACATTGTGAGCACCGGGGAGCTGTTGGGCCCTATTTTGGCAGGCGCAATTGTATGGGCACCGGTAAAAATGCATCTAATTTCTAATTTTCAAATCACCCAATTCAAAGTGCTCACTTGCAACAACACACATCTGCAGAATGTTATACGAACTTTGGACATGTCCATTTCTCCACTTATGGCCAAGAGCGTTTCACAGGAAAAGAGAGCAACTCAGTCATACAGCGCTCGAGCTCGAGTGGACCGTTGTGTCTTAATGTCATGTGGAAAATGCAGGAATGACGAGAAACTGAGTCTACGAACCCGTGTGATATCTCAAAAATTCGCAAATTAAGGATAGCAATGTTACAATGTACTGTACGGGTTATTTTAGCGAGACGATATAGTTGTCTGAAATCTCAAGGCAACTAGACCTGGTTCCTAGCACCCGTGTTATCTTCTCTCCTTCCACTCATGTTATTCCATGAGACCCAAATGCTTGAAGGGAATCCTTCATAAGTGTAGCAAGCTCCTATAACGAAGTTGTCTAAAGCTCCTATTTTGAATTCCTACTCATTAACATGTCATTGCTGCTAGATATCATTGTTTTCATCCACTTACCTGTTATTCTTGTCATCCAGATTCCCTATTTTCCAATTTCTGCAGTCATCTTTTCGGTATAACAGCAAATCTGAACGATCACATCCCCGATTCTTATGGTCACACCTGAGCAGTGTACCATACTCGAGTACTGGTATGATATCATGCACAAGACGCATGCAGGCTTGGCGTGCGCAGGTTTCCCCCACCAATACGAGTACTTGTCCCATGCAAGTGCTGCCGTATCCCAGTATTCACGGATTAACCCTCCTTCCAACAGGGTAGGTTGCACTCGAGTACCGGTACAGTGCGACCAAAGGATCGAGCAGTGCAAATCACGTAAGTCTTTCCCCTCGAACGGCCTAAACCCGAGATTAGACACCACAAACGAGACAACGATACTTGTACCAAGAAATAGCAACCGCAGAGAGGTAGAGAATCAGTAGAGTTCGGCTCTAGGATTTCTATTTTGGAGGGGGGGCTCAATTGGAACCAATGAACCCTATTTCCACAGATTTTTGGTAGGCCTTCACTTTTTCGCAATAATTTGCCCGAATGTGTAGAAACAGGAACAAGGAATAGAGACGAGCGAACCTTCATGACAAAATTCTAGTGTCAGAGCAGTACTTGCCGGTTCCAAAAGTATGCGGAGCACCCAGATTTCTTTTCAACAACAAGGTTTACGGCAGCGATTTTGGACAATGTTGACTCAACCTGAATGGCAGGGCAAAGATGTAAATATGAATTTCAATATCCTAACCGGAGAAATATTCTCACGAAGAAAACGATAGGGAATAAAAACAGGAAAGACTGATATGACCCAAATACAGGTAACGGAGGAAAGAGAGACAAATTGGATGGATGAACGAAAACAACTAACAAAGGGAAAACAAGCTGTCTTTTATCCTTCCCTGGATCATGCCGATCCACTTCCACATACTTCCAGCGTATGCCGTGTTCTCCATCACATTCAATTTCACTATTGCCCATTGTGCTACTTCGGCCGAGGATAAGCGAATTCGACCGAGGGTATGTTCTGACCGAGGACATTCGGTATTTCCATATGATAGGGGTAACGTCCTAATATGGAGTCGTCGCAGGTATCGTCGCAGATGTTGTCGCATATGGTGTTTGATGTGTAGGACTAACCAGTAGTCAAACATAGAGGCGTCGGAGTAGTTGATATGCCAAGAGGGTTAGGGTTGTGAAGTCGTTGCCATAGGGGAAATGTGCGGTGAGCGGCCAAGAAACACTTCCGTCCAACAATTTCCAGATTCTTCTAGGACAGGCAAGTAGTCCTCTCGGGAGCCAGATCCCGATTTCTTGTATAGACACACCCTGCTATCCCAGATCTCCACAACACGGATACCTCGCTGTCCCATGTGAATCTCTGCAAGTTCTAAACTTCTTTACACCAAAACATGACCTGTTGTCCCGGAACACCCGCAGTACCGGACAGATTCTACAAATTTTGTCGTACGGGATAGCGGGGCGAGACTGTATTAAGATTCCTCTTAGCGAGTGTCTACTATTTCCCCGTAACACTACCTGGTGTCACCTATATAGCAGCACCCATGCCTTAACAGTCATTTGACAGGGTTTGTGTAGGTAAGGATAATTTGTGTTCCACCGTGGTGCGGCTATTACTCGTACAAGTGCTGGAAGGACTCGAATAATTGGACCCATGTGTTTTTGGACATTGGAGTTGCCTCTCCTGGTAGTGTCCGGTGTCTTTTTCTTTTTTATTCGTCTTGGAAAGCAGGCTTTTTCATGCAACCTTCCCCCCCCTTTCCAGAGGAGGAAATTTTGAACTACAAAGCACATGGTCCGTCTAAGGTATTCGAGCTCGTACTGTAAGCGATTTGCGCCGTACAGTGCGAGTAGAAACCTTCTTAGTATTCCTAATACTAATACCGGCCCTAATCCCAAAATATTTGGATCCTTTAGAACTAAGATTCACCTATCGTATTTGCTAACTCCCCCCCTTGCACCTGCACCCCAGCTTTCCCCGAAGGGTATTCCCAGCCAACCTAGATCCTTACTACTGTACATCCATATACTCCAAATCCGGTATCTCCATAATACCCGTTCAATCCACAACAGTTGTGTCGTAGCTTCCGCAAGGCACCGGAGTACCGGTAATGTTGCAACTTTTCCATCGTGGGAAATCACTCGATATTTCCAAATCGCCACCATCTATCCAATTGGGTTTTTCCCCCGCTTGCTATGGTCATTGCGAGAGATGGCCCAATCTCCCTCACGACCGCCTAAGCATCTAACAGAAATGGCCCCAGCAGCTGCTATCTAAGCTATCTAAAAGCTTTTTTCCATCTGCGGACGGACTGCGAGTTAAGGTTGTGGGGCGCAGGTGGGGGGACCCGAATGGCAGAGCCCGACCGTTAGCAGAGCGGGATCCAAAAGTCCTTCTAACCGTTTGTCTCAAGACCTTTTCCTCATCCGCGATGGTGGAGAGGCAGAAGGACGAATTGTACAGTACACTATCATATCATACAAAATTGAGGATTGGTGATTTGAACCTGATTTTACCATAGTAGGGCATAGGATATATCACTAAAATTCTCTTGTTTCCGCACGCCCCCAGAATTAACTAATATTGAAAATATCACAGAAAAATAATCGCACAAAGAAAACGATTTCCTGCTCTGTAGGAATTTCTCAAATATCATAGGTCTGGAGCGAGGAAATCCTGTTCTTCTGCAAGTCCCAACACTCTTCCGCACCTCCTCTCAATACCTTAATGCACTTCCCACTACCTAGACCTCCTGGCTGCAATACACCCAGTCAATACACATAATATAGCACCAATTTTCATATCACAGACAATTCAAAGTTTTGCCGAAGATGACGAAATCGTAGTCACCCCCTCTATGAACGCCAGATTTGCATTGGTAGTGTACTTTGCCCAAGGTAATGTGGTTGATGGTATCCCTCCCCGCGTCAAGCATCTCCCAGAATGCCATTGTATAAGCCGGACGCCGGGGGTTTGTTGAGTTCGTAGTGGATTGTGATCCTGAAGATCCCGGGGCCGAATACCTGGGGGTTATTGATGCCGAAGGTCAAGCAGCTCCGGTGTTGTACCCCTTGAATGCGCTTCTGGTATGAGAAATAATAGGTGCAGAGGCAGGAACGGTTATCGCGTTCTTCTGCTATTTTTGCCGAATTTCTCATGTCACCCCTCTCGTAGGCAGGCCATGGCCTGGTGTTAAAATCAATGCCTAATAGGGTGGGTGCTGCTTTAGAAGCAAAGGGAGATTGTGCCAAGTATCAGTTGCCGTTTTCTATTGTCCCTATTCCCATGATATCCGGAATAACATACATTTACTCTTATCTTGTTTGTGCGGGCGCTTTTCGGCCGCTGATCGCTCTTCTCCATTTCCTGCCACACCCCCCTTCCCCCCCCTTCTGACCATTTTGCCTCCACTGCATGCAACTCCGCCAACGATCTCTTTTCAGCGGCAACCTTTTCGAGATTCTTCCGAGCTTTTTCTTGCTCCGCCGCAATGATCCCCTTCATTTCATTATCCCTTTCCTTGACCGCTTCCTCAAAATCTCTCTTTAGAGATTCCATTTCCTCCTTATGTTTCTTCTCTTGGGCAATCAATTCTCTGTTAATGTGTTTCCCTACCCCGGTCTCAAGTAGGCTCAAACCTTGGTCAACAATCTGGACCTGGATATCGAGGGATTTTGGTTCGTTTGGTATCAATTTGCGGATAAGCTCCAATCCGGATTCTCTGGTGCCATGGAATCTCTGGAGAGTGGCACCCTTATCAATAAGCCCTCCCCAGAAATCTCCATTCCGGAGACTATTTTCGCGAAACTCCCCTTCTGCCGGATCAGCGTTGGACCACTGGGTTGTTGTGAGAAACACGTTGCTCAGGAATTTCTGACCGCACAAGCTCTGGAACATCCTGAGGTTCTTTAGGGCAGAACCTCCCATGCGGGCGTGAGTGATGGGGTGGAGGTAGATGATACCGGAGAGGGGTCGCCTCTCCCTATAGGTTGCTGAAGTCCAATCGGCAATCTCACGTAGGACATCAGTATCGCTTCTATTCGTATCATTGAAGCCAGGAGTGTCGACTAGTGTGATTTTCGTCCCTTCATACTCAAAGGAGTAAGATTGGACCTCGCGGGTGCCTTCTTCTTGTCAGTGCTCGGGCTCAGCGTCTCCAGCAGGGGACTATCTTACAAGAATGAAGATCATCGCTCACTACGACCTCAGAATTTCCTGAGACCTCTCTAATGAAGTAGCTTTTACCAGCGCCTGTAACCAATATTAGCAAATGCATGCTCGTCTTAAATACATTTCGAATTTTACCTGTTACTCCCATCAATGCTATTATGATTTCATTACTAGGACTGACCTCCGGTGGAGCTGTGTATACTTGCTGATCTAGCCCTTGTGGTGAGTGTGGGCTGTATCCGGCATTAGTCGTTTGTTGATTTCCGGCCATTTGTTGATTGCCCGGCAATGCCGAGTTACAGTGTAGCCGTTGCGTCAAGGTGGGACAGCTCGCAAAATATCGCCATATTCGCTTCAATTTTGAACCGGGCGCTAGCTTCTTCCCCCCCTTCCCCCCCCCACCAGGCCCGCTACCTGAAGTGCGAGGGAGTACTGGATCATTTGCTGCTGACCAGCCCATCTCACGACGATCCAACCTTTTAGGTGCTAGATATCGGGCTTTTGCAAACCGAGGCCTGCTTCGGTTCAACGGGATGAAGAGGTTGAAAGCTTTAGGATATCAGGGAACCAGTATGAGAGTTATCCGAGGAGCAAGCAGTGGGTCCTTTCCAGCGTCCGAGTGCTAATACGGGTTCCGAAATCGCTGCTACCCGTGTACCGTATTAAGTTAAGTAAGAGAACGATGCGCTAGCGGTTAGATTAAGCTCAGACCAAGCCACCGAAATGTCGCAATATAACTAGAGGTCAATGTAATATCAATTGACCCTCAAGAAGCAAGTAGGAATGGACGATTAAATACCAAGTCCAAAAATCAAGTCAAAGAAAATAAAAGAATAAAAATAAAAATAAAATGGTTAAAGAAATAAATGAGTATATAAAACAGGACCCAAAAAATTACACTTCTAACTCCTCTGGCTCCACCTGTTAATATCTCAGCTGGGCCAGTTATTGCTTGACGTTGGGCCAGCATGTACTCGAGTAAGTTCCGCCACATTTTAAATGAACACCAATTTGTCGTTTTATTATTCAAGTTAATAGGGTATGAGGTTCTAGCCAATTCAGGACCCCTGTTTTCGGATATCATATCATACCCATGCACCTCTTGACTGGTGCAAACAGAGTCTTCGCAAACGTCACGACATTCCGAGTAACGCCATGGCAACGGGCGACGGGGGACAGCATGAAAATTTTGCATCCTGCGCATCGTGGAGCTAGGGAGTCCTCGCTGCAGATAGGGTCTTCAGAATGCTGTCCTACGCAGGGGTGGAAAGCCAGCCCAACGGTGCCACCACCAGGTCCTACGACCAGCGAGCAGCGTCAGCACTTAGGAGCAAATCCTGTACTATATGAATGCAAAAGTGCAGTTGGGTGTGCCATCGAGGAAGGTTAAAAGGTGAACTTGCAACCACGAAAGACCACTTGTACTGGGTAAACTTGCCATAGCTGTTTCATGAAAGACCGAAATAATTGAGAATATCGCCAGAAGGTCTAGAATTCCCCCCCGTGGATTTGAGGTGGGAGGGGCAAAGCGGGAAGATTCCCATTCAGCCCCCAGCTGAGGTAAATAAAAAATAAAAAATATAACAGACCTTACCGTACTGGGAAAGGCAAATCCAACAACTTGGCGGGATTCACAATTACAGGTATTCTGTTC